AAGCTCAAGAACAATCAAATCATGTTTGGTTCTTCCTTCTTCACCTTCTCTGTTTTTTTTTTTTTCGTGTAGAAATAAATATATATACAAGTTTCTTCGTAATAATAATGGTAATAATATATCCATATTTCATTTTCGATTATTTATATTTTTTATTTATCTAACTAGAAAATAAATTTTATAAAATAATTTGAATCTCGTACCCAATAAGGATTTTTTGTTCAAGATTCCGTGTAAGAAAGATGAAAATGTCTCGTAATTTTTATTAGATATATGGGTTACTTCTTTCAGACTACGAGTAGATGGAAAGACGAGATCTTTGCTTTATTTGCTTCTAGATTGCTCCATCTGCCACCGTAAATGTAGAAAAAGAGGAAGCCAATCGTCCCCATTTTTGTCCCACCGAACAAAGATTGAATCCTTGTCTTTGACTGTTTTTACCCGAGGAGGCAAGTTGAAACTCTTTTTTCTTGAAACCAGAGGACAACCAACGGTATCAAGGTGACGAGCTTGAAGAACAGGTGTCTGTGATGTATGGGGGACATGCTTGTGCGCTACTAACGAGAATATCTCAGCAAAATCCTGAGCATTGTTTGGAAAAGTCAAAACTCCAAAATCTAACCTAAGAAATCCCCCGGGACAGGCCACAACCTCAGTTTTGAGATGAAACCTAGAGTTCGAGTTTTGAGATGGAACCTAGAGCACGTGAAACTCTAAAAGGTATCCAATCCTAAAAATCGAGATAAACCCAAATAGTGAACCATCTAGGAATTTATGTTGAGAATCCAACATAATAAAAGATAAAGAAATCTATTGGTTGTGATCTCGGGTGACAACAATAGTGCACATGAAGGTGAAGAGATATAAGCGGAGTAGTGTGAGGGTATTTTGGTCATTTTTACATAAGCACCGGAAAATCCAAATGATTTTTTTTTCCACCCCAACTCTTTTTAAAAAATAAAGATTATGAAAAAAATAAAAGATAATATAATAAAGATTAGTAAATTGCATACAAAAATCAAAAGAGTGAAGCTTTGCTATTGGGCCTCATGTGGCCCATTTAAATTATTTTAGTTTTTTTTTTTTAATAAAATTCACAAACATAAGAGAAAAAAAATTAAATTAAAAAAAATGTGCATGAATTATGAGTAAGGTAAATATAAATTAAGAAAATTACCAATACAGTTAAGAATACGAAGTAAGGTAAATTTTTAATTTTTATAAAATAAAAAGTTGGTAAGTAATATTATATAAATGATATGGACTTATGAATATTTTACTGCATGTTAGGTACAGTCGACTATAATATAAAGTATATTATTAATAATTAATATTAAATATGCATCCAAAAAGTGTCAAAGTTTAAATTAATGCCCTCCCAATAAAAAAAATGTCAAATTATAAAATTTTTAAGTCAAAATTAGGTCCGTTGACCATTATTAATGGTCTTTTTTTTCGTGGAAATTGACGTATGTTACGTACATCAGTAAAATTGACATAATAAAATATTAAAAATATATATCTATAGAGTCACGTCAAAACACTTCAAAAAATATACAATTTTTTTTAAAAAAAATGACTTTTAAAATAGTATTAAAACGGCATGAGAGAAAAAAATGACTTTTAAACTAGATACACTACTGTGTAAAGACTTAATACAACTGTTTCCCCACTCGCCCTGCATGTAGTACAGTCACCGAAGGAAATACTACTAAGCCTTCGGCATTGGCGCACAGTGGAAGGTGCCCTACTCCACTGATCCTGTCTCAGATTTAAGTAAACCACGACGAAAACCTTCACATCCGAGTCTGGAAACAGTGTCAGGCGTAAGGAGTAAGGGTGGAGCTTATTATATGTCTAAACGTCATACCTCAGTTTCGCTACTCCGCCCTGCACGAGGATAATGCAGTCACCGAAGGAAATGCCACTACGCCTTCGGCTTTGGCGCACAGTGGAGGGTGCCTCACTCTAAAAGGAGGATCCTGTCTCCGATGATCTACTCCAAACCATCGGAGTCGGAAGGTGTAAGGAGTATGGGATTCTTTGGTGTTAGTAATACCTGAAGGATAGGGTTTATTGGGGAGTACTAAGGTCTCATCGAAACTTCTCCTATTCAATGTTCTTTAAGCTATATGCTCAGTCGGGGTCTTAGAGTTAGACCAATCTCTCTAGTTGTTGCAATTACGTAAAGTATTTGAAAGTCGTCTTACACTAATTATGAGAAAAAAAACAACATGAATGTTACAATTCCCAATCGTGTAATACTGAACTAACACATCTTCATCGACCCTGTTTTGTTTTTTTTAACAAGTTAAGACAGCTAAACCCACCTAGATTCTATTCGTCTACATTATCAGATATGTTCGTGATTAACCATTTGCGATTTAAGAGGAAGGAGTCACGGACCGACCCTAAACAAGAAAAACGGAAACTTGGGGAAGCTTAAGAAAAGCTTTTTGGTTCCTCTAGAGATGCCAAAGGTATTGTAAATTAAAGTTGTTTAAAGCATAGAATGAATTCTGTCTAATAAGTATCTAAGAATTTTGAATTCTTTTTCAAAATTGAGATTCTTGGAGCAGACATTATTTCTTTAAACCCCTTTTCTTTCCTATAATTGATTGATTCTCTGTATATTTTACTATTCATTCAAGACCAATAAAATCTGTCCCTCCCTTTCCTCTTTCTAACCTAATCTCCCTTTCGACTTTTACGCTTAATGATATATGCTAAGAAAGCTTACAAGAATCTACTACATATATCATTAAGGTGCACATTCCTTTTCTGTAACTAATGACATAAAAATTAAAAGAAATGAATAAAAATAAGAAATACAACAATTTCTGTAGAAAAGTATGAAAAACGAAGGAAAAGTAGCAAACCAATTAAAACAAAATTTCGCTGCGTGAAAAGTTGCTCAAAGTATTTCTTAAAGTGGAGGAAAGATTAGGGAGAGAGAGATGAGAAGACCAACAGAGTCGAGCTTTTTGTTCCTCTATTTGCTTACTGGAATTGTGATGAGTCATCGACCCAATTTTCTTGTGTTTTTCTTCTAAGAATGTGACACTCGAATGAAAGAGAGGCATATGAATAAAACGAGACTACATCTAAATGAAAATGTTTCTAAATATAGAATGACTGAAACAGGCTTGCACGAATTGGAGCCGAGACAAGGATGACCCAATTTTCTTGTGTTTTTCTTCTTATAGGTGATTTATTAATGCAGCAACCTAGTTGGGGATTGATGGGAAGAGTAAATATGGTAGCTTTCTTAATCAAATTCTAAACCCATTTTCTTGGAACTTTCTGTTTGTCATGTTGTGGCAAAATGGGAAGCTCACCAAGTTTTCCACTATGATTTCTCTCTCTATTCTCTCTCTCTCTCTAAAACTCCGTTGAGGTTCAAAACTCATGTGGGTTTTTTGATATAATATTGGCATCAACGAGTACTGTACCAAAACCAGTGACCTGTCTGTCTTATATCATCCAACCATTCTCTATCCTCACTGCTTTCGCCTCTTTTTTATCCAAAAAGTGGAGACCCAGTTGAGGATTTGGGTATGTTCAATTGGAGAGAAGAAGAACAAGAAGAAGCAAGAGATCAATCAAACAAGTGTTGTTTATGGATTGGGGTTGGGGAACTCTTTCTGGAAAACCCACTTTCCGGGAAAAGAATCACACCCCCCCACCGCCCACAAGTTTCTCTGACTCGATTGGTTCTTCCAATAATAATGAAGAACCCATTCTCGAGGGTTCGAGCCAGGAAAGTTCTTCCTCTAATGGATCCTCCAAAAGGACTCGAATCCTCCAAGGGACTCAAAATCAGTCCTGTTTGGTCGATGGTTGTGACTCTGACCTGAAGAATTGCAAGGAGTATCATCGACGCCATAGGGTCTGCGATTCGCACTCCAAAACCCCTGTTGTGATGGTGAGGGGCGAGGAAAAACGATTCTGTCAACAGTGCAGCAGGTAAAACACAGAAATCATTAATGGGTTTTGTTTGTTTTGTTCTAATTTTTACCTCAAAATCTTCGGGGTTCTTGTTGTTTCTTGTGGAGTCCGATTGTTCTTGAGTAAAAGTATTGTAGGTTCCATCCGCTTGGTGAGTTCGATGAGGTGAAGCGAAGCTGCAGAAAGCGGCTTGATGGGCACAATCGCCGCAGGAGGAAGCCTCAACCCGAATCCCTGTTTATGAGTTCAAGAGATTTCCTGTCAAACTGCAAAGGTTAGTAACTGATTGTTTCTGCAGTTTACCATACAAATGTTTGATGGATGCCATTCTGTTTGTAAAATTGGGTTACCCTCCTCAAATCCATAGGGCCAATTGTGCTGCAGTTCAGTAATCAACAGATTCATGTGCCTGATGAACATGGTAGGAGTTTATGGTCCATGAGGCCTGAAGAAACCTCCATGGTTCCACCAAATTCCTCCGCTTACTTCAGCTATGGAGGAGGAGGAGGAGACAACGAAGAGTTGCCCTTTTTCCTCCACAAAAATGGGACAAGGCAAGGTAAGCAAATGGTGTCTTCTCGGTTATGTTTCAATCAGCAACTTCCTGATGCAATCTCTCAGGGAAGTGAGGTGGGCAGCATGAAACAAGCGGTGCCTACCAATACTTCGCCCGTGGATTCAGGTTGTGCTCTCTATCTTCTGTCATCGCACCCAGATGCTGGGTTGAGCTCTTTAGTTCAGTCTCATCTGAGTCTTCCAGTCCAAACTCCAGAGACTGAGCTGCATTTCAGTAGTTTAAGTGACTTCTCTGCCTCCTTTGGCTCCAAGGACAAGCCTGTTTGTGAAACCAATCTTGATAATGGGTTGGAGCTTGAAATGGAGGCATCTGATGGCTTGTTCCAAAGTGAGGCTCCACATAAGTTTCCCATTTCTTGGGAGTAGTCTTGCTTCAGAAACCATATCTGTTTTCTATGGCTTTAATCCAAGACTCGTTTTGAATTTGAAGTTGTGTTTTCTTAGACAGCAAATGTATTTTGCTGGTTTGTTTTTTGAGTTTCCATAACCAGGAATAGACTGCTTTGACATCATCATTTATACCAGGAGTCGCAAAGCATCGTGAACACGTTACTACGTGCCATTTTGTAACACCTATGCCGAGCGACCCTGGTAACGATTGTCTTGCTATTCCTCTTCTAGACTTATGTTCTTGAATCATGTTTTGTTTGGAAATTACTATGTTCTTGCTTCCTTGATCATGCTGTGTTTTGATGATACTGCTAAAGAATACACAGAAACAAGCTTATGTTCTAGTCTATAGCTTATTAGTATATGAGATTTCATGCTGAATCTTGAAGTTTTCAGAAGAATTCATCATTTTACTTACAAAGCTGTCAAGTATGCTTATAGAACTGCTCACAAGGTTTATCCCCTTCTTTCTTCTTCATCTTACAAGCCAAGCTGTTAGGACAGAGCTTAAGCAAGATTAGTAGCAGCTCATGCTATAACCGACAATCAATCCCCATATATAGAAAGTATTAAACAAAAAGGACAGAATTAGGTTTGAACCCTACTTTGACCTCAAACATATATTTTTATTCCCTAATTTTTAGTTCTTTTTTTCTTTGTATAATACTTGTGGAAGATTCATTTTTGGTACTCATTTGGACTTTGGTTGAATTACAAATTTAATTGCTGAATCTTTTATGTTTGTATCTACTTTGTTCCTGAAGTAAAATTTAAAATCTTTTTTAGTACAACCAATCATAAACTTTTGATTTTTGTATCTAATTTCATAGAATTCTAAGTTTAGGATTAAATTCATAGTTTCTTAAAAAGTTAGGAATCCCAAATACACGAACCTCAAATCTAAAATTTTAATTTGTAACTTAACCTTGGTCTTTTTATTTCATTTTTATCGTCCATGACTTCAACATGACAAACTTCTTAAAATATTATTCAAAACGAGAATTTTTGAAGCAACAATCATATTTTTTTAGAAGTATAGAAGTATAAGAACTATGAAAATAAAGATGGGCCCCTCCCATAAGCTCCTAGACGACTAATAAAGAAGCAAGAATTTCCTTAGAATCAAGTAGTGGCACTAAAATAAACCACATGTGGTAAGAGAAACCCTAGCCAATAAATAAATATACAGTCGACATTCTCATCAACCTACTCAACAGCTCCATTGACACAGACCCAGATTACAGGAGCACCAAAGAGTCATTTATCAAATTTCAAACATCAAAATGATATCTACTTTCACTTTATTCTACCAATACATGAATGAAACACACAAAAATCTGTATAGAAAAAGAAGGAATGCATACCTGATGCGGAGGATTGTATTAGATGGCTCATGGCTGACCTCAGGTTATGACATAATGATACCTAATATGGAATTAAATAGGCACAGAGCATAATTTATAAACACTAATATTGGCAAGACCAACCTCCTTGTCTATCTCGACACCGCAGGCATGATTATAATCAACATAATGCTATAAAGTCAGACAGCAATTATCTTTGCACTGGGGGCAATCCAGCACGTCTAATTATTATAGACCTCTAAAGAAATTAGTTTTAAAACTACAATCAGGCGGTGAAATGAGAACAGATCTTAGGTTGTCTTACAAGTCAAGATTGACAGAACGGCAAGATATATTAGTAGGTATCAGGCAAGCCATTAACTCAATCATGTCAAATAATACTTCCTTTAAAACTTTAAGGATGTAACCAAAATTCATGTTATTTTTCATCATGGCCAAAGCGATCAGATCCTAAACTGGGATGAAAAGGAACCCTGAAAAGTAATAGGGATTATTAGTAGTGAAGTAGACAACAAAATTTGGGTGGGTGGGGGGAGAGATCGACTCAATAACAGGTTCGCATTGCTAAATAACCTAATACTGACACTAGTGCTTGTCATCTTTTGGAATATCCTTCTGAGAAGTTTTGGCTTCCAGCTCCTTGGTTGCCTTCTCCACAGTCCTGAAAGAATAACATCACAGTCATATTACATTACACAAGCATGGCCTACAAAAGGAGCAGCAGCCTGTTGCATTCACATGCCAAATAGACATCTTAAAGACAGAGGTTCTATGAAAATCGCCATAACCCATAAGCTTGATATCTTTTCTTCTATTACTTTTTATTTATACTATCTATCATATTCTTCACTCGCCAACTCGAATGGGTTTTAACATTCTGCTGGCCGAATGTAGCTACACTGCATTAAACTAGGTAAACATTATGCAATTGGGTCTAATATCATATAAATTAATTGATTAATTAAAAACAAAGAAACAGATATGAGAAGCCAGAGGCACAGGAAGTAAGCCAATAGGCGCCCAACTTCCCAGTCCATAAAGTATTCCCAAGAAAGATGGCAAAGGAGGACATTTTAAGTGAAAGTTAGTTGCAAGCAGGGATAGGAACAATCAGGGCATTTTATATCAATACTATTGACAATAGAAAAGGACGACTGAGAGGAGAGAGGGCAGCCAACTAGTTACATGGAAGTGACTAGAGTGACTACGAGAGGAGAATGCCAAAACTCTTGAAAGTCTAGGTAGCCTGTAATCTTCATCAAACAGCAATACAATGATACTGTAAATAGTACATTTCTATTAGGCTCTGGAGTTCCACTATTACTTTATTCTCATGTCCTTTACTTGCTATTGTCATATGAAACATTAATAAATTGAGCGTCTAGCGACGGATTGAACACGAACTCCAACACAACAAATCAATCTAAACCAAAAGCAAATTCCAGGAATCAATTTGGACAGTTGATCAAGGTTCGAGAAAAGTACATCCCCAGTTGACATCAATGAAAAGAAAAATTAGTATAAACTAATAATATTAGAACGAAGACGATAGACCTAACCAATCAATCAATCAACAAGTCCCTTTCTCAATCTGTTTTTTAACTTTCCAAGACCAAAGGAAACTTTCCTTAGAATTCTAGAAGACGAGTAATGGTCTAGATAACCTTTGACAAGAAGATAAGATTCTCCAGCGGTTCTCTTTGCACTGCAAGCCTACTCCAAAACCACGACTGACTAATTTATAAGTATCCATTACCAATCATTAGGGAATACGTACCAGAAATACAGCTCAAAAGTTTTTAAGGAGTTCCTCATGAGAGCTGACGGCCAGGAAATGTTTGAAACGCAAAAAGCTGCCACTAAATTAAGGTACTGTAACCTTCATTTTTCAACCATATCTTTACCCTCTTTTCCTTTTCCTTCTTGCTAACACTCACCCCCATAAGCATAAGACTAATACGTGTTAGGAAAATGAAAACATTTCCTTCATTATCAATATTGCTATGCATTGCCCATCTTTTAAAATCTTCATTTAAACAACCTCTTGCCAAGGGAAATATTATCTTATTTATCAATATATGTTCTTTCCATTTCTAACCATTTCTAACCTTGGTCATGTCCATAATATCCCAATTGAACAAATGACTATCAAACCTACCTTCAAAGAAACATCAAGGTCTCTACCCAGAGCTTTACTCTTATTCAAGAATTTCCTCTACTCATCCTATTCCTCTCCTTACTATTGAATCTTTAATAGTTACCTTCCAACCATAACTACCACAGTATGGATATAATTAAGTTGGGCAGAGCAATTTTCATATGCTTCTTTAAATTGAGTACCCACAGCATCTACTCAGAGTTTTTTAACGAATTAAGAAATTCCCAGTGTATATGTGTATACCCCAAGTTTGTGCTCCAACATGTGAGCTAAATCAGAATGAAAAAAAAAACTGGTAGTTGGCTCTCCTCCTTGGCATTACAAAAAAAAAACTGGACGAAGCGGAAATGCCCTATCAGGACACCTTTTCTGCAGTCCTAGTGGTAGTATTCATGGCTTCAAAACCGTGAAGTCCAGAAAGAAAAAACTTGAAACTTCTGCGGCATCTTTCCATTTCATACCAACTTTGATGGATTTCTCTTTAAACCCTCCTCTTTTCACGTTTCAGAACATCCAGATGATTTTAGAATCCGTACTTTAATATCCTTCTTGTTGCTAGGTCTTTCGCAAGCAAAGCCATCATATTTGCTTGCTTCTTCACCTGAAAAATATCTTCTCATAGAAATTTCCAGGAATTTACTTCTCATCCAGAAAACCCTTCACAGTGAATGCATCCATCTAACAGAGCAGCCACAGTTGAAATTCTCCAAAACATACACCTCAGGAGATGATTCTCTTCCATCTGTTATCGCAGAAGGAAATCTTCATGCCATTTCCTACTGAAAATTGTTAGGTCACAAGTCTAAGCCTGGAGAGGTTCTACCAGCAACTTATTTCTCTTCACATTTGTAACTTCACCCAATCAACATCAAATTTTTCTTCAATAATTTGATGCCACAAATCCTCGATCTCTAGAGAAACCTTTAGCCAGGAGAACTTCATTTCCGACTGATTTAGCCTTGTTGATCTCCTATATTAGTTAATTTCCCCAATATTTTTTTATCTTGGATGCGTCTCCAAATGACCTCTTTCTTGGATTTCCACCAAAACACAACCAAAATCAGTCACCCTAGTGATTCTCTCCCTTTCCACATTAATCCCAGAGAGTAGAGATTTACTCAAAGTGAATTCAAACAATAAACCCAGCGCCGAAACGCAATTGCAACAAACATGAATACTACCGCTGCCTGCGTATTAAATTCCTAACACACAATCAATTCCAACAAGAACCAAATGCTAAGGTCTATTGATTCATTCCGACAGCACTAATACAAATGAACTTCAAGAAAACAAATATGAACCAAACAAGAAAATAAACTAAGAATTTAAAAGAAAAAATTACTTGGAGGCAGAGGCAGATTCTTCTTCAAGCCACTGGCGGATGTGTTTGACGTTGCGCCTGAAGATTGAAGCCGATTGCTTCACATCGCTCCTCAAAAGAAGAACCACGGCGCCAACGCCGGCCACCGTCAAGATGAAGTTCGTTAAAGCCATCTACGTGAATCCCAATCCCAACTTCCGGACCAAACAAAACAAAATTCTGCCCGCTGGTTACTCGCGCTTCGAATACAAATGCAGACTACTTCAATTGCTGGCGAGGCTGATCGAATTGTCCGAAACATTCTTCAAGGCCCATCACAAGCCCAAGCCCAGGCCCATCACAAGCCCAAGCCCAAACCCAAAAAACTGGTTAAAATACAAAACGTCGACAGCAGGGTTCGAACCTGCGCGGGCGAAGCCCAACAGATTTCAAGTCTGTCTCCTTAACCACTCGGACATATCGACAATTTGTTGGATCATCGGATATTAAATTAATTTTAAAATAATTTGATTCTCGACAGTTGACCACCGGATTATCTTCTCCGTCCTGTTTTTTTTTTTTTTTTCTTTTATAATTAGTTTGTTCGGCGTTTTATCAACCAGACAGTGGAAATTTTGAGCCCCTGCAGAGAAAAAATGGACGCCATTGATTCCGTCTTCGATCCACTCCGGGAGTTCGCCAAGGACAGCGTACGTCTCGTCAAGCGCTGTCACAAGCCTGATCGCAAAGGTACAAATTCCGAAGCCATTTTCGTCTCTTTGATTTTGTAGTTGTTTTTAATCTTTGGCGGAGATCTTATAACCAATTTCCTCTACTCCGGGAGATTTGTAGAGTTCACAAAGGTCGCGGTTCGTACAGCGATCGGCTTCGTGGTGATGGGATTCGTCGGTTTCTTCGTCAAGCTCATCTTTATCCCCATCAATAACATCATCGTTGGATCTGGTTAGGTCAGGATTTTTTTTTTTACTTATGCATCTCTAGGTTTCACTGTTTTCTGAATTGAGTAATTGCTTGATTCTTTCTCGAGGTTGCGTTCCTTCAATTAATAAAATAGTCCGATCTTATTGAATGTAAACAGGTTTGATCTATGTCGAATTTCTGTGTTATCCAAGTTTAGTCCCTTTCTAGTCTTGAGCATGAAATAAAATTGGATTCTGAAGAACGGAATTGAAATCTACAGCTTCTCTTTGACTTGGGGAATAATATGATTAATGTTTTTAGATTGTTAGATTAATCTATATCTAGGGCATGTAGGTTATGAAGGGAGAAATGTTTACTTTGTTAGATAAATGTTTTAGGTATGATTCTATGAATTACCTAACTACGCCATTGATGGGTTGATCGAGTCTTTTTTCTTCTTGACTCCTCTTGGCTTTCTTGTTTCTTAAAGGTTCTCCCTATATACCATATTCCCTTTCAAACAAAATTATCCTGAAGACTTGCTCTCGCCATTTCATACAATTTACATTGTCTATGAATAATGTAGGATATGTGCATCTAAACTAATCTTCTCAAACTTTTACAACCACAAGGAGAAAACACATCTAGTCTTCTACATCGATCAATCCCGAGCTCAATAACAAAATGCTGTAACCCATATCAAGCCTTGTTGATTGCACATTGTTATCTGTATAGAGGAAGGAGGGCAGGGGGGAAGGGGGGGAAAACTTACCTGGGAACTGTAATTGCTCATAATACCTTACCCTTACCTTATAACGCACGAAAGATGGGAGAGGGAGAGGGAGAGTTCGTAACGTATTAAGCCCGCCGCCAGCAAATATTGTCCTCTTTGGGTTTTCCCTTTTGGACTTCCCCTCAAGGTTTTTAATACGTGTATGCTAGGAAGAGGTTTTCACACCCTTATAAAGAAAGTTTCGCTACCCTCTACAATCAATGTGGGATCTTTCGATCCACCCCCAGGGACCCAATGTTCTTGCTGGCACTCGTTCCCTTCTCCAATCGATGTGGGACCCCCAATCCATCCCCTTTGGGGCCAACATCCTTGTTGGCACACTGCCTCATGTCCACCCCCTTCGGGGCTTAGTATCCTCACTGGCACATAGCCCGATGTTTGGCTCTAATACCATTTGTAACAGCCCAAGCCCACCACTAGCCGATACTGTCCTTTTTGGGCTTTCCTTTTCGGGCTTCCCCTCAAGTTTTTTAAAATACGTCGGCTAGAGAAAGGTTTCCATACCCTTATAAACAATGTTTCGTTCCTCTCTTTGAACCGATGTCTGATTTCACATAGTCATTTGGCTCAATTTTGCATAATCACAGTGATTGATGTAGTTTGCATTCTAGTTTATGTCGGCATGATTGTACACTGTTTCCATTCCCAAATAACAGTTCCATGTAATAATTGATGAGTGTGATTGCTGGCTTGACCTCTTTTTCAGACAACATTAACTTGCGTAAAACTTTGAATTGGTTCTGCCTTTTGACAATCATTCATTATACCTGTTGAATCTGTGTTGCAGGCAGCTAAGGCCACAAAAGGAGCAAGCTGGCCGAAATAGATGGGAACCTGATCTACTATTTCAAATCCTTACTGATGTTTTTGTTAATTTAAAAGCTTAATTTCTCTTCCATATGGTAAGTAGCAGACTTCCATGAATGGCTGTAACGAATTGTCAGGATTATGTCTTTACTTTCTGATTAGTCCAATGTGTTTGTTCATGGTTACGGGTTATTTTAGAGTAATAAAGGAACAAGTTTTGGGTTCGTCATCGGGATGAAGATTATATTTACTGCCCTTTCCTTAATGCTGTCAAGCTTTAACGATTGGCAAATTAAAGTAGATACACAGCAAAAGAAGCCTATATATTTTCAGTAGATTTGATTGAAAGTGCAAGCATGCACTCACTACACGACATTTTGAATATCATGTTGCATATCATGTTGTCAAAATTTAACTAATGGACTAAACAGAGGAGAGACCTAGCCTACGAGTTTACGTCCATCCCTTGGTCGGGTACAGTTTTCTTTCTCTTTTTCCAACAATCTCTTCTAATGACAGAATTGATGCCGAACTCTCAAATTCTGCACTTTTCAGCTGAGAAACAGAGACACAAGGATACCAATATGGAGTGTCGTTATCAATTTGCTCATCGTTTCACTCGAAATAGTATAGAAGCTAAACTCGCACATATAAATAAATTTTCTGGTAAAGATGAGTTCAAGCTTTAAAATTCCACCTCAGTCTTCAAGTCTGCATTCAATTTTTTTCTTTTTAGGAGCTAGAGTTATTACGCGGAAGTGCTAGTGTGGGACAATCTACCTTGACTCGTTTTTATAGTTTACACACTTTTGTATTATCACTTCTTACTGCCGTATTTATGTTAATGCACTTCCCAATGATACGTAAGTCCTTTATAGAGAATCGAAATCATAAAGACTACGTTGCAACAAACTTGTAGAAATGAACCATCAGACCGATAAATAGAGCTGAGGTTAGAGTTAAAACTGCTAGTAGAAAACCGAAAAATCGTTATTGTAAAATGAACTCACTTTCCCAGGACAGGATACGCTAAATCCTGCATCTATTGAAGAAACAAAGATACACATAAGCATAAATGTTTTAGATCAATGGGTTATTTTGCTAATGCTCTCTTTGATGACAATTTTGTATTGAATTTTTGGTTTTAATCTTGTTTTCCAAAAGTTGATTACAAATGATCAAAAACAAAGAGTAATGTACTAGAAAAGACTGACCAAAAACATCCAGAATATAAGAACGCATTAAAGCACCAAAGTTCCATCAGAAACCTCCTACTTGATTAACAAATTCTTATGGTCTGTAAAACCCAGAAAGAACCTAAAAAGAGAAGGTTAAGAACACAGCTAGCAGAGTGAAGTTCCCTGCAAAAAGTTTATCCAAGTGAGAAACAAACAAACCCCATTTTGTTTAAGGTAATAACAAGGAACAACAAAACATCCCTCACAGTTTCAGCAATCTTATTGCGCCATATTGAAGTAGAGCAACAAGAAGACTCACCTGTATCATCCCCGACAGACCCACAATCCATTTCTTCCCATCAAAGGAACGGGGAGCTTCGGCCAATGTCGGGAAAATCACCATCGCCATGGCCAAAAGGAGAGGTAGAAATGGCCCAACAATGGCCCTTGCTGTCTTTGAATAAATGAATCTATAGCTTTAACATATACAATCATGGAGGACTTCTAAGAACAATTTTAAACACAAAATTGCTTCTCAAATTGACCAAAACCCTAGACAACCAACCAAACCACCAATTTGCAGTCAGAAGGAGAAAGAAAAAAACAAAAAGATGTAACGTTTTATATCATTCATTCTCAACCAAGAAGAAATTAAACAAACATAATCAAGTCTAATTCTTAATACTAAGTTACAGGAGAAGAAGAAAGAAGAACCCACAAATTTTATTCTACACAACGAACTCATCTTTATCTTCATCTTCAATCCTTAGAAATCTTCATCCATCTTAAACTCATGCGTGTCGCCATGTCCATTCAAATTTGACATCACAGACGCCTTCTGATAATCCCCAACTCTCTTCTCGAAGAAATTCGTCTTACCTTGCAACGAAATCAGCTCCATCCAATCGAACGGATTCTGGGCATTATAGATTTTCCCATACCCTAAAGCTCCAACCAACCTATCTGCTACAAATTCAATGTACTGACTCATCAAATCACCATTCATACCAACGAGAGCCACCGGCAAAGCCTCACACACGAATTCCCTCTCTATATCCACCGCCTCCGTGACAATCTCCTTCACTCGATCCTCACTCAACTTCTTCCTCAGCAGTGAATACAACAAACAAGCGAAATCGCAATGAAGACCTTCGTCTCGCGAAATCAACTCGTTCGAGAAGGTGAGTCCAGGCATTAACCCGCGTTTCTTCAACCAGAAAATGGAACAGAAGCTACCTGAGAAGAAGATTCCTTCAACGCAAGCGAAGGCTAAAATACGTTCAGCGAACGTTTCAGTGCTGTCGATCCACTTCAACGCCCAATCGGCCTTCTTCTTGACGCAGGGGACGGTCTCAATCGCGCGAAACAACCGACTCTTCTCGTTCGAGTCTTTAATATAGGTTTCGAGAAGAAGACTGTACATCTCCGAGTGGATATTCTCGATGGCGATTTGGAATCCATAGAAGGCTCTAGCCTCAGCAACTTGGACTTCCTTCATGAACCGCCCGGCGAGATTCTCCAAAACGATGCCATCGGAGGCAGCGAAGAACGCAAGAACGTGAGTGATGAAGTGCTTCTCATCGGAAGTTAAAGATTCCCAATGGCGAAGGTCCTGCGAGAGATCGACTTCCTCAGCAGTCCAGAAGGAGGCTTCAGCCTTCTTGTACATTTCCCAGATTTGAGGATACTGAATCGGGAACATGCAAAAGCGGTCGGGGTTAGGGGCAAGGAGAGGCTCGTCGGGAATTGCAGGCATGGTCGGAATTGGAAGAAGGTTTAGGGTTCCGGCGGGATTTGGGGATTAAGGGTTTAGGGATTTTTTTCGATTGAGGTATGGTGAAGAAGGGAGAGGAAAACTAGGGATTTTATAGGATGAAATTAGGGATAGGGTTTTGAAAAATAGCGGGTGATTTAAATTTTTTATGTAAATTTTCCCGGAAAAATTTAAGTTCGTGGGCACTTCCGGGATTTCCGTCCCATTTTCAGGAAGCATGAACCATATTTCATGCAATTTAAAAAAAAAAAAACGAACGTATTAGCAAACTACGGCTATCAAATATTATCTTCTTTAAATTTCTCTTAATTTTCTCTTTCGAGCTTCCACTCAAGGCTGTAAAACTGCTAACAGATATTGTCTTCTTTACTTCTCCTTTCGAGCTTCTACTCAAGGCTTTAAAACGCACCTACTAGGAAAAGGCGACCGAGAATTCACCCCCCAAATTTCTTGATTGATAGTATTAGTATATGTTCAAACAAGCAGACCTACACTCGAGTTTAGCTAAAATTATAAATAATTACAATAATTTGTAAATTTTTTGATAATTTTGAAATTATAATTCATACACACATAATATCTATGAAGATATTTATGGACTAAAATTGTAGACGTGGAAGGAAAATAGCAATTCAATATTGATTTTATTACCATAATACCCTCAAAGAAGGCATCAGAAATTAAATTTTTAATATAAAACTTTGAAAAAGGGATTTGGAGGGAAATAATTTGGAAATTTTGAATGAAAAATGTTTGATTTTAGGGCGGGAAATTGAATCCCTTTTATTTCTACACGATTATTTCTACCCCCACCTTCCCGTTTTGACTTTATTATTTTCTCATTTCAATTCATCTTTAGCATATTGGGCATTTAATATATGAATTTTTTATTTCGTTATTTTTTAAATGTATAGTATATATAAGGGTTCTTATCTTTTATTCGTTTGGATGGGCCTCTGGAGGCCCAATAACGAGGCAGGCCTTGGGCTTTCTTATGGGCTGCCCAGCCCATTACTCAATCCAACTTTCTAGGTATAGTTCAATTGGTCAAGAGTTTATAGGTTCAAATTCTACATTGTACTAAGAAAAAGTCAATAATTTTACTCATAAACTTGTCTAGATGTATCAATTTTTACTACAAACTTTAATTTTAATTTTAAACTTGAAGAAGTGTTAATTCGAAATTCGAAACGTAGTTATAGAGATGATAATTTTTCGAGTTGAGAAAAACCTGAAAGACAAAGCAGCCATGGGCGCATCTGGTCTTCAACGTTGAAAGGAAGCAAAGCCCCTTTCTGCATCCCAAGAACAACACGCTGTACAAACTCCAGCTGATTTGTTTGTTAACTGGAACTGGATTGTCTTCCATGTGATTTGTGAAGCGGGTTATCCACAAAATGGCAGACCCGATTCGGATATCGTCACTCGGTGGGTGGTCCATCGTCACCTTCAGCTACCATCCATGGCAGTTTAGCTCCCTGGATTTTGCAAAACATTAAGGAGGAAGACAATGAACAATGACTTATCTAAATTCATCAGAAACTTGAAATTATGGTACTCGCTCCATCTCATGAGGATCGAGCACGAGACCGGGACAGCACAGCGAAGAAATGAGTGACCAACTTCAGATATTGTTTGATCTAGATTTAATAGAAAATATTGCTTTTGAATGAATGTCGCTGGATACGTGATCAGATAGCAAGAGATGACGCGAGTTAATTATAATTCAGTGTTCATTATGCTAAAATGAAATGGCTAATTGATTACCTTCCCTTGCCGCAAAAGCTTTGGTGGAGTGATAGTCATATCTACTACGGTGGATGGATCTGCCACTCTCACTCCACCATCCACCACAAAATCCAGACCCTATTTGAAGCAAACAACCAGACTTCAGAAAAAATTTGGTATTACAGCATAAATATTCACTCTGCCTTTGTAGGATTTATTCATACCTCTTTCCCGTAGATATCCGCTATGACAACTGGATCGAGCAACCACTCATTTTCCTTCAAGCATTTGACACTGAAAGAAGGGATTAACATTGTGAGATCCGAAGCATTCTTTATAAAAGCCCGGAAGAGTAAGCCCAAAGAGGACAATATCTGCTAGCGGTGGGCTTGAGCCGTTACAAACATATAGTTTGAACAAATCATCACTTCTGAAATACTTATTTCCTTTCACTACTTTTAGGATTCGATCATTTAAAACAATCTTAAATCAACTAATACAAATAGTCTCCCCTTCCAATGATCAATCCAGAAATGGATAGGAAGGAATGGAAAGAATCCTGTTAAAACATTGATAGTCAATTAAACCAAAATAAAACTCTGCGTTATGGGGTCGAATAGCTGAATGAGAAATAGGCAAACAGATATGGAGAGCAATTGTTAAACAGCTTGTACAGAAGGTCTTTTCAGTTCTCGAAACCAATCAAGAGACGCGTTGAGAGGAAGGGAGAGAGAACTAGAAGAGTATTGATTGTACTAACCTTGTGGATATCAATGGGGCATCCGTCTTTTCCAGTACTGCTTGACATATTGCATCATCGGGAATGCGCACACCGACATTCTTCCTTGATGCAGCATGTTTTGCAGTGGTTGTGCCGTACCCTATGTACTGTTTAGGCAGTTCTTTGCTTGCAGTTAAGATGAAGGTATACTGTTACACAAAAACTGTCTCACTAATCAATTGCTCTAGTTAAGAGTTCAATGAACTTAAGAGAATTTCACTACGAACTAAATAATATATCAAGACATCTATAGGACAATAACAGAAAATGTTTTTCTCACTTTCTTCAATTCTACGTGATTATGGAAACTACAAGCACTAGAACTCATTTGGGGACACTATGTAATCCTAAGGACTGAGAATAAAGAGTTATCATAACAAAACATGGTTAGAAGAGCCACTCACTGGTCCAGGTAGGCAATGCTTAACCATGCGAAATATATTTGAATGGCCTTGGCCGTCGCCACAGGGAAACCCTGTAGTATATTTATCGATGTCCCGGAAAGAGTGGCACAAAATACTTAGAGGCTGCATAGTTGATTATAAGTGAAAATTAAGGAACATAATGAAAAAATGGAAAGGTAGGCTGTAGAAAGACAGACATGAATGATAATAAGTAGATTAATTATCTTGTCCAGCATCATTTGAGCATTGTAGTTGTAGTTAAAGAGTTTGAAGGGCCACATGAGCATTATCTAAAGCACACTACAGAGATTGTTAAGAATAAGCACACCTTGGAAGGCTCTATATTCTTGATCCTGCATTAAACAGCACAATAAACTTTAGCATCAGGGGAGAGAAACTGAAGTAACTAATCAAATATATCATCTAGTATAGCATAACAAATTAACAACTTCGACCTTCGCATTCGTTCAATGGCTGAGGGGTTCTTCAAATCACAAACTATTGCATACCTTGAAAAATATAAGCACACGCACCCCGTTACACATGAAAGAAAGAGACAAACAAAGATCTATGAAATGGAACAAAAATGCTGTGAAATCAAAATTCACGAGATGGTCCGTCAAAAGCATAAGAAACTTGAACAACTTTCCTTTTGCAATCCTTGTCACTGTAAATTTAAATTCACAAACTTAAATCTTCTACATCTCCTCCAGAACTCTTATCATCACAAGTAGAATATCCATACAAATACAATCAATTTGAACGAACCAATAATATTCCGACTAAAGTATACTCATGGGAAACCAAAAATTCACTGTAGAAGTTTGAAGCTCGTTCTCAACAGAGTTAAGACAGCCTAAAATCTGGGTGGCATGACACAGAGAGTGCAAGTATGATTCTTACAAACTGTGAACAAATTTACTCGTTCAAGCGTCCAATTTCATCTTAAGAGTCAGCCATGTTAGCAATAAAGAAATCTCAAACGGTGAGAGACATATGAAGTTAGAGAGAAATACACTGTATCCGTAGGAATAACCCCAACTGCGCCTTCTTTTAGAAGATCTACTATGGGTTCTAATTTCCAAGCATCCTCTTCCGATTCAGCTTTGACATATAGCAAGCTCCCTTCCTGATAAAGACCATAGTGAGAACAAGTTTATTAACTTCGTTGATTTCCAAATTTCATCTACCAAAAACAGGCAAAATCACTGGTGTTGCCAACAATCCAAATCTTGCAATAATCCTTTCTATACTCCCCGCAATCTCCTACTCGATTCACTGAGTGTCAATCTATACTAAAATAAATAAATAAGCGACAACAGTACACATGTTTAATTCACTTTAAGCAATTCTACCTCCGCCATTAGGTTTTCTATACCAAGCAATAGCGACAGCAATTTCATATACAATAAGTAGCAACAAGGGCAGAACCAAGCCTAAAAAACGGGAGTATTTAGCGAGGGAGAACCTTGGTGAAGCGTGGAGCAGAGTACTTGAGGCGCTTAGGACTCCGCTTCACAGCCATGGCGAGTACCTGGAGCCGCCGTGAAGTTCCAGAACCGTCGAAACGAACGGTACGTGGTAGCGAAGGGAACCGTATTGGCGCTAAGGATCGAACGGAAGAGAGAGAAGAAGCAGCAGACGGATATCCGCTGGATTTGACATTAGCGATCATTTTGAAGATTGGAGAATCCCTGTCACAGCATCGCCGGAATTAAGAACTGCGAGTAAAAGAATCCAGAAGCTGCGATCGGAGACGAAGCACATCATGGATAGAGAATATCCCACCTGGATGCCACGTCACATTCCAATTACAACTCAATTGGATTTTTTTTTTTTAATTTAAAATATATTAAATTACAAATTACCCCTTTTAACTTTTCTATATACAAAATAAAAAAATTCATACAAAATTAAGAATTTAAAATCTCCGTTCAAATCAAATTGAAACAAAAAGAAAAAACTCTCCTTTGTTTTTATATTTGTTTGGTGGACATAAAAGGGCACTACATATAGGAGTCCGAGAGATTCTTTCAAATCTTCGTTTCAACGCGATAATAGTGGCTTGGTGTAACGACCCAAGCTCATTGTTAGTAGAAATTGTCTTTTTTGGACTTTTCCTTTCAGACTTCCCTTCAAGGTTTTTAAGACACGGTCATCTTTCTTGTGGTGCAGACTTCCCTTCAAGGTTTTTAAGACACGGTCATCTTCCTTGTGGTGCATAAGCCATGCTAATCTTCTTTGTATCGTTCCAATTATAGCATAGCCCCTGTGCAAAGAAGACGACGCATTTTAAAAACTTTGAGGGGAAGGAGAAAGCCCGAAAAGGACAATATTTGTTGGCAGTGAGCTTGGACTGTTACACTTAATGTCACAATCACACTTTTGCAACAGGATAATGATTGTGCAACACTTGTTCTAATCCAACGAATAAGTCAATTGTAAGAAATTTGAATTTTGCAAACATCGGTATATGCTCGAGCCTTGAGTCATGTTTGAGAAAAATATTTTAGAAAACTTAAGTGATAAGCTAAAAGCGATTAGACAACAACGACGATTTTGATAGCATATAACCCGAGTAGAAATAAGTAACAACTAGTCATACTCCCCCTATAGTACATTTAGCCCTAACGAGTATAGACATGATTTTCGTGAATAGTCATACACCTCCATATTAACACAACATGAAATAGTAAATGTTTATCTAAGGTGAAAGCATGTAAAAAGAATTTAGAACGAACATGTAGCCATAAATGTAGACAACACGTCCTGAACAAACATAACCAAGACATTCAAAATGCAGCCATAAACAACACACATTAGACAAATATGACCGTAATATTTAACAATGTCAAGGTGAATATTATTATATCTTCATAGGTTATATCCTGTACGTAAAGTTGGTTTTCCATTACAAACGTGTAAATTTTAGCAAAAACTTCGATAAGATGTGTTTAAACAAAAACAAATTATACTAGATCGTATTAATCCAAATCTCAAACTAGTAATAATCCACAACTATATAATTACTCCAAGTTAAAGAGAGAATGAAATTCAGTAAAACTAAGCAACAAAATCACCAACTCCTTTCTACCCTACAAATCATCACCAAATAGTTAACAAATAATCAGTGATTTCCAACAAACCCCTCCTTCCCTCTACTGAGTATTCAATCCTAAATCCCAACTTATTTATCAGATCAGTCATACCGCAGAAACGCAGAAACAAAAACGACGAAATTTATTAAAAACAGTGTTACCTAAAAAAACAAAACAAGGGATGATTGATATGTAATCCTCATCTCTACAAGTATCAGCTCTAAATCTGATATGCCTTTGGACTTCCAATCTTCTAGCATGATGACTTATCGGGATGCTTATCGGGGTGGTGGCGGGGGCGGGGGCGGCACGTGAGACTTTGCAAACCCCACCCATGTAACTATGCCAACAGCAAGTATTATCCATCCAAATATGTCATACTTCAGATCACTGCTTTTCTTTTTCTTTGATGTCTTGAAAGAAGAAAAGAGCATGAAGTTCAGAGCTTGTAAGAAACTAGTTGTGAATCTCTAAGTATAATAAAGATGTTGCTCAATGAATCATATATAAACAGCGGTTCTATCAGTTGAAGTTCACAAATATTTTGTAGTGAAAAAGAAAACTTTTCTTGCTCACAATCATTAACCTAGATAGAATCAATATGGTAACACCCACCGTCACCGATGGGTACACATCAAATTAAGGCTATGTTTGGTTGGGAGTGCTCGTGTAACAGCCTAAGCCCACCATTAACAGATATTGTCCTCTTTGGATTTTCCCTTCCAGGCGTACCCTCAAGGTTTTAAAACGCGTCATCTAGAGAGAGGTTTCCACACCCTTATAAAGAATGCTTTGTTCCCCTCTCCATCCGACGTGGGATCTCCCATCCTACCCATAATTATCATCATGTTTGAGATTAACATAAGAAGCATTTGTAGAGTGCTTTTGATTTTTCCTCCACTTGACCGGAAAGCACTTTTAAGCATATAGAACCAAACATCGATGTGCTATGTTGTTAAGTATTTACTCCTAAGTGCCTATAATCTAGGTACCTTGGCTAGAAGTGATCCAAACAAATAAGCAACATGAAGAAGCCCAAGTCTAAACAAAGATTTAGAGTCTTAAGTCTAAAGATTCACGAAATTGTTAGCATGTATTTGTAACTTCGTTGTAGATCACTTCTCGAACATGATGCTACCAATTTGAAGGAAAATAAAAAGGCATGCATTCATAGAGCATAGCAGTGGCAAAACCATCCTTAAATCCCGTCTATAGAAGATGAGGACCAAAAGTAACCCGAGATGTTATCGTTCTTGAGAAATAAGCAAATACCTTAGTACTGGATGAAGTAGAAGGTTCGGCTGCTCCAGTTGCCTGCTGAGGAAACCCATGCTTGTGGATCTCCGAATACAATTCTGGAGCCTAATAGGCACAATCCACAAAATAAGAATAGATCATGAACATAACAAAAGATGGAAATAAAATACTAACTACAAAGGCAGTGTACGATAACCAGTTTATTTTAGGTTTTGTGTTCTTGAAAGTTAAGTTTATAAACACTACTTTTGCCTATAGTTTTCTTGTTAAAATGGTTATGTGGGGGCCTAAGTAAATAGTCAAGTTCTAGTTTACTTATGAAAACAATCGAACAACACAGGAACTCCACAAGTGTATTAGTTGATTGATATATTTGTTCCCCCAACATTGGTGCTGTCTTCATTTCAAGAGAGACCATCTCCAATGGAAAATACTCCCCCACCGGCTGGCACCCATGGTAGCCACCACTAAGTTTTTTACACTGATTTACATTTTAGGAAGAAAAAGGAAAAAAAAAAAAAATAGAGAGAGAGAGAGAGAGAGAGAGCAGTCAAAAATCTAGTGGTGGCCGTCGAAAAGGAGTATTGTCCCATCTCTAATGTGGTAGCTAATTGTTTCTTATCAACGCAAAAACGAAACAAACAGATTCTTTCATTTCAAAGCCATTGAAAAGAGCTTAGTATTCTTGAAAATAGAAATACAATCAAACGGCACCAATGAATGTCGATCCCAAAATCACAATGAAATACCTTAGCAGTCACCTCCAAAGACTTGAGATAAAGCTCATTTCCAGGATCCTGAGTCCAAAAATCACCATGTTAAACTAAAACAGCCATCAAAAAATGCATATTTGTAAGTTTATTCCGAGCCTTTCGTGGCTAAGTACCTCATTCACAGCTTGTTGAAAGTATACTGAGGCCTTATCAAAATAATCCTTTGCCTCATCCTGGTTTGGGTTCAAAAATGCATGGGAAGTATAAGCATTACCTATGCACCAAAGAGCATCATGCTTCTTGGGGTTAATTAACAGTGCCTCCTCCAGCTTTGATATTGAATCTGTCCCAACCCCATTACAAATTAATCCACAGTAGATAATGTTCATCACTAAATCAAAGAAAGAGCTGCCATTGCAAATACTTATGTAGAAAGATATAAAATGAATCACAAAAAGACCCAACTAAGTCAAACAAAAACGTTCTCAATTCTCATAGAACAAAAAGATACCTAAAATCATCTTCTTCGATTCTGGAACGCTCTGAAACTGAGATAGCTCTAACAAAGCTCCTGCCCATCTCGTCAAATTCTACATGAAAGTCCGCCCATGTTTGATTATCAAATATAGCTCACCCATTAAAGAAAAAATGGCACATTAAATGATGAACTATCCCATCGTTTCAAACATTTCATTTTAATCCTTAAATTTCAGCTCCCCATTAAATGCAAACGAGATTCTAATACAAGGAGTCGTTATTTTTCTTCATTATCACTACCTTTAACAATCAACAAGCAAAAACTGGGGCCTCCATCTCGTAATCAACTAACAAAATTGAGGTCATGACTTCAAAAAACTCAAGAAATAGCAGCTGCTATGGATGAATGTCGGCATTAGTGACCTCATGGACAACCAAAGGGGTTTTAAAGACAGCAAAATCGCTAGTTAAAACAAAACTTCAAGCACGATTGGAACCATTTAACCAAAGACTTGTGCACAGAAACGAACATCACTCAATCTTCCACAAACCTAACAAAAAAAAACCCGGAAAACTCACATCGGCATCGAGGGGATTATTGGCGTAAGCAGCTTCTGCATTCTTACGAGCGTGCTCGAAGAACAGTAGGCGATCGAATTCGTTCGGCTGCAAATCCATTAGCAGAAAATCGGAGTGTTGGGGTTTTGGAGATGCTTGTTTGAGAAGCTCTGGAATTACGCGACGGGGCGGTTGAGCTTGGGAATGAGCGGTGATTGCGTGGAGAAACCCAGCACGCAAGTCTAAACAACGGGCCAACTCCAAATGTTGGCTCCGTTTTAGAACCATAGGCCCATGTTGACACAGCCCAAATTTTATTTGGTAAGAATTACGACACAGTTGATACGACCCACTTTACACCATTATGATATAGAAATGAGCCTTTAATACTCTAATTGTAACGACCCATATCCACCGCTAGCAAATATTGTCCTGTTTGGGCTTTTCTTTTCGGACTTCCCCACAAGGATTTAAAACACGTCTGCTAGGGGAAGGTTTCCACACCCTTATAAATGGTGGTTTATTCTCCTCTCCAACCAACGTGGGACATCACAATCCACCACCCTTCAGGGCCAGTGTCCTCGCTGACACTCTTTCCTTCCTCCACTCGATGTGGGATTGCCCCAAAATCCATCCCCCTTTATGGCCCAGCGTCCTTATTGGCACATCGTCTCGTGTCTGCCCCCCTTCGGGGAACAGTGAGAAGGCTCGCACATCGTCCGGTGTCTAACTCTGGTATCATTTGTAACAACCCAAATCCACCGGGAAAACCCCAAAGAGGACAATATCTACTAGCGATGGATCTGAGTCGTTACACTATATCGTGTAAACGATTCCCATTTCTGTTAGTTTTACGAACTTCAATCAAGCCTTATGTTTTAATGATAACAAACTTTCAATTCATTGCCGATTTCCATAATTTAAAGCATCCATATCATAGAGCTAAAAAAAAATAGATTCCGACACATTTCAAAACTGTAACAAGCCCAAGTCCATTGCTAGCAGACATTGTCCGCTTCGGCCCATTATGTATCGTTGTTAGCCTCAGTTTTAAAACGCATCTACTAGAAAAAAGTTTTCACACCCTTGTAAGTATGCATCGTTCTGCTCTCCAACTGATGTGGGATCTCATAGTCAACCCTCTTGGGGCCCAACATCTTCCTTGGCACACTGTCCGAT